GGCCGGGCCGCCAATACCCTTGGGGTAAATGGCATCCGGGTCCGGAGTTGTATGGTGGGTTCCCCAGAGCCCTCGGCCATCTTCCTCTGCATTTCCTCCATCTTGACCAGCATGGCCTCATATTTGAGATCTGCTTGAGGGGCAGAAGCGGTGGTGTGTGCTTTGGTGGCCTCCATTTCGTCAAGCCGGTGCTGGAGGGCCGCGATGATTTCGTCCGTCCCTGGGGTCCTTCTGGAGGGCCTCCGCCCCCTGCGAACGGACACGAGCCGAGTGGGCCTGGTTGATGTGGTGACGGGCATCGTTGGCATGGAGGGGGGCCTTGCCTTTGTCCTGAGGGGGACGTCTTTCGTCTGCCCAGGAGACGGATCCGCCACTTTCCTGAGGTCTTTGGAGCGCCTTCCCCCCGAGGCGGTCTTGGACCCCTCGGCGGTCTTGCGCCCCTCCGAGTCTCTCGAGGGCGGAGGTCCGGGCCTCTCTTTATTTACGTTGTGGCGGTCCCGGGACTGGACCTCCTGAGAGGCGGTATCTTGAGCCACGACCCCTTCATCGTTCCCAATCCGAAGGATGGGGTTTCCGAAGGGATGTGGAGGAGGGGGGAGGCATGACGTTCTCCCCGACCTGAGGTTGAAGCGGAACCAGAGTGCCGAAGGCACTTGGATTCTGAGTGAGTGTTTAGATGAAGGCGGAGAATGCCGACTGCACGTCGATAGTGAGGACCGGAGGGCTAACTTGGTTTTCGCTTCGGTCCTTCTTTTTGGCTTCGATGCCGAGGCAGACATCGGGGGCATTCTGTTGGATCTGAAGGCGTAGGTCGACAGCCGCCTGTTCCAACCCTGTAAGGGCACCGCCCTCGAGAGCCCTGTTAGAGGCGTCGGGGCGTTGACGTCGCCGAGGGCCAGGTTCCTGTCCTCAACATTCTTGGAGTTGGCACGTGTTGTTCTAACCATTTTGGTGGGTGTGTTGTGTTTGGCGGGGGGGTTTCTTACTTGATTGTTTGATCTCTCAATGAGAGCACCAAATGATGGATAGTGCACCCGGGGGTATATATCCGAGGGGTTACTGCGGGGAGTAACTAGAGAGAAGTCAGAGCAAACAAGTAAGAGAGAGAATATGTATTCAGTGTGAATTCAGCGTATTCAGAATATGGTTTACAAAGGGGAAATGGGGTGCTATTTATAGTAGCAATAAATGCGAGATGGGGACACGTGTCAAGCATCCAACGGCCGAGGGGTCACATCAACCGGGTGTCACTGGCATTCGCATGTGGCCGCATTTAATGCGGCGGTTGGATGTGACGTTGTACTTGGTACGACGATCCAGGCGCATGTGGAGAGGATATTCTTGTCGAGGAAGGTACCCTCGGGTGTAGATGATTAGCCGAGGGCTCTTCTTATCGAAGGCCCCTTAAGGCCGAGGGCTCCAGATGCCGAGGGCTACTGATTTTCGCTGTTTTCTCCCAGTAGCTTTGTATACTAAAAATAGCCTTTCTGTGAGAATTTGGAGCCTTCGGCCAGGGGGCCGAAGGCACCCCTATGTGCTCCATGGGTTGCTTGGTACCCGGGGCGCTGCGATTTGGGCCTGCTGTGCTTCCTGGGCCTCTTGGGCTTTTATTAGGATAGTAGGAGTCTATGGGCCGGGGGTCCCTGGGCCATATACTCCATCATGTACGTTTTGATATTTAATTTACAACATGTTTAATTTGATATGAATACTCCTCCTTCCTACCATAAGATCAACTTTGGCACACTTCATTTCAATGCTAACCTTGCTGGAACTTCTGCGCTCTTTCGGGATGAGACTGTGAGTTACTTAGGACACATGACCTCTCTTTGCTCCACAACAAATACTACTAATGCCACTTATGATGCTATCTTGGATACTATTATCACCATCAAGAATATAAATGCTAATTTTGTTCTTGAGATTGATAATAGGAATATTATGTAGGAATTACTGGCATTACAATTCAGCATTGGCAATTGATGGAGTATATAGCCCAGGGACCCCTGGCCCACATACTACCGTTGTTGCATTCAGGCCCCAAAACGGGCCAAGCCCAGCAGAATGAAGCTCTAAGCAGCCCACAAAACTTGAGCCGAAGGCTACCGTTTACGGATTCGAGCCGAGAAACATCACAGGAGAACAAGACTTGAAAACCAAGCCTTCAGCAACTGGAGCCCTCGGCACTACGAGGCCCCCAGTACGCAGAGCCTTCGGACTGTCATCTACAGCCGAAGGCATCCTCCTCGACAGAATCTCCCATCCACATGTGTTGGATCAACGTACCAGGTACAAACGTCGCATCCAACCACCACATTTAATGCGACCACATGCGAGTGCTAGCGCCACCCCGATTGAGGTGACCCCTCGACCACCAGAATGCTGACACGTGTCCCTATCTAGCATTTATTACTACTACAAATAGCTGCCCCTTTCCCCTTTGTAAGACAACTTGAATACACATTCTATATTCGAATTGTTTATCTTTCTTACTTACTTGCTCTGACTTCTCTCTAGTTACTCCCCGCAGTAACACCTCAGATAAGCTACCCCCCTGGTACACTATCCATCAGCAATATTGGCCCCACATCCAGAAAATTGAAGGGTACTCTCCGGTTCCAATTGGACTATTTCACACATCAAGCCGAAGATCAACAGAGTTGCCGAGTACTTGGCATACAACAACATTTCCATTAACACAAATGAAAATCATTTTAGGCGTTTTGTAAGAATTCTCAAGTTTTATGCTATTAGTTACCCTTATGTATTTTACTTTGAGTATAATTTGGTCTAGTCCTCCTACTCTTTGTACGTATCTTTCATTCATTTAATTAATAAATATGTAAGGTGTTTCTTGGCCCCTACTCAAGGACCTTTATGACTCTTTGGCTTAAATCGGGTCCAACAAAAAAAAATACTCTTACCTTTGTTTTTGGAAATACATTTAATTAAATGTTCTGGTTCGGATTCCAATAATTATTACCCAAGACCGGCCAGACCGGAGACTGAAACTGGACTGCCCATGCATACGACATGCGTATAAATCAAGTACATTTTTGTTCACTACATTTATTTTAGTAATATGTTGGTTATAGTTTCTTCTTAATTTGATTGAAATACATTTAAAGGTATCCACAATATATATTTAATCAAATTTCAATCGGGTAACTCGTGTACACCTAGGGGCGAACCGGGCCCAGGGCTGGGATTGGGCAGGACTAACAATTTGGGTTGCAGGCTCGGTATCGGCCCGGGTTTGTACCGGGACCGGGCCGGGCCGGGTCCAATTTTTTTTTTTAATTTGTCTTTTCGAATTTATTCCTACCCCTCACCCCCAAACCACCCAACCCCACCAACCTAGCAGCCAATCAATGGGAAAAAATTAAAAAAAATGGGCCTGGACCAGTCCTGGACCAGCCGGGCTGGTCCACCATTTCATCAGCCTGTAGTCCGCCCCAATCTCCCCTGGTTCGGGGGCCCAGTCCCGGTCTCCGTACCAGATGACCGGGCCAGGTCGGGCCAGGTCGGACCTGCACAGTACCGGGTGCCAGGTCAGGTTGGGCTAAGTCGTCCCAGTCCATCCCTATGTCCGGCCAATTAAATTTAATAGCAACGCACCACTCACAAAGTGAGAAGTAGAGAACAACAATTTGTGGTGAAATTTCACTCGATAAGTGACAACTTATTCACAGCTATTCTGGAGAAAAAAAACTTATTCACTGCTGGATATTCAATCCATCTCAAACAACTCACACATAGCTCTATCCCTAGCAATACCAAAATGGATGGATACAACCAGGGATGGATTGGGGGGCGGGTGACCGCCCTCCTTGGACTTTCAAAATTTTCCATTATATATGTAATATTTTCACAAATTTTTCATACTTTGATTAATTATATATGAGCTCGCTCCCCTTAACTTTTAGTTTTTAAAATTAATATATAGCATTACATAATGTAATACTTAATTGGAGATTTAAAAGAATAAACGTCTAAAATAATTTACATAATTAAACAAATAAACAATAGAACAACTCATTATTTAAGATTTAAGATATTTATTATTTAAAAATTCCTAGTTTTGTAATGTTTAGTTATCTTTATTAGATAACTAGTACTCGATTTTGTAGAATATTAAACGATTTTAACTACCAGACACACTAGTTAAATAGTTTTTAGATCATGTGAGATGAATCCAAATATAAATGTTTGTTGTCATTAAGTTATACAATTCATTTACTTGTTACGTTCTAAAAATTAATTATTGCATAGATAATGAACTTTAACTTATTTTAGCATTAATGCAAATATAATATGCAACATATAAACGAAGTATGAATCAGCAATATAATATATTCTGAAAATAATAATGTCATACGTAGTACATACTATTGTAATAATAAGAAAAGTCCTCATGACTCACGAACACCCTCTTTGTTAGACGCAAATTGTAATTCAAAAACCAATTCTTTATTCCGATAAAGATTCATAGGGCTAAACAAGGCAAAAGTTATTTAGAAGGTGTTGATGAATGTGTACATTTTAAACTCTTTATCTTTAAATAACTCTGCTTTTGTTTGCTATTTCTTACGGAGTACAATTTAATGTATCAATACTTTTTTATAGAGCATTTCAGTAATAAAATCAAAGTTATTTTTCCATTATCTAAACTTAGAATGTACTCCCTCCGTTCCTAAATAAACTTCCAACTTTCCTTTTTCGTTCGTTCCAATTAAAACTTCCACTTTCCCTTTTTGGTAAAGAATTTGTGGTTCACAACATTTCTTACACATTTCTCTCTCCTCTGCACAACTCTCCACCACACAATATCCAATATCTTAAACTTTGTGTCAAACCCATTTGGAAGTTAAAATGGGATAATAGTTTTAATTGTTGTCATATATGTATTAATGAATTTTTTTGAATAAAATATAGCCGCAAAGCCCTACTACACTAGCAAAAAAAATCTCTACACTACACTAATGAAAAATTTTCACCCCCTTTGATCAAAAATCTAGATCCGTCCCTGGATACAACGCTGCTCTAGCATATCAAATTATCACATAGTAATAAATCACATTATTCCAGTATTTTTATTATTTATATAAATTAAGGCCGCTGCTTGTCGTCCTACTATGTACAATGTAAATGAACTTTTGCATGCTCACTAACGATAAGAGGAAGATGAAGAAATACAGCTTTATCATTAACATATCCAACATCATCAAAAAACAAGAAAGAAGAAGGCCTGGGCACAAGCATTTTACATGGCGAAAAGTAAAAGGAAATGTTCTTGCCCCATGGCAAGAAAACATACACTCTGCGCCTGCTTTCTTTATTATTACTCTTAATCTCTTATTATCATTATTATGGTCCCACTTTCCTTGCTAAGCATTGACACTCTCAGAATCAGAGGTCACGGCTGCCATGACAAGCTCAGGCTGGTGGGTGCCTCCCACTGGTGTTCCATCATCAACTGCATTAGGCATCCCTAGAGATTTCAGTGCCAGGTGAGCTGCCTTCTGCCCTGATATCATCATTGCTCCAAAGGTAGGCCCCTGACCACCATCAACAATCACTAAATACAGTAGTAATTGTACAAATTTTAAAGGGTCTCACCTCTAACGTTTACCATATCACTAAACAACACCTCTCAAGGATCTTCTGGACTGGGTTAGGCCTGATTTAATATGATATCAAAGTATGGCCTGTTTTAAGTTTGTTTATCTGACATGCATTATGTGGGCTGATTTAATATGATATCAAAGTATGGACTGGGTTAGGCCTGATTTTTTGTGGGCAGCCTGGTGCACAATGGCAATCCCGCAAGGTGAGGGTCCGGGGAAGGGTCCCAACACAAAGGTGTATAGAGGGCAACCTTCCCTTGTCATTCAAAGGAGAGGCCGCCCAAACATGAACCGATGACCTCTCAACTGTGGTATGAGTTGCAACTAATTGAATATAATTAAATAAATTACCATTCTTGGTGCACCATCAATCTCTGCAACTTCCATCCCGGTGACAATCATCCCTGGCACAACCTCTCTTGTGAGCCTCACGATCGCATCCTCTGCCTCATTCATATCCAAAGCTTTCATCCCGGGAACCGCATCGATCATTCCAATGTCCTTGAGCCTCTTGACCCCTGTGGCCCCAAATGGACCATCGTGCCCACATGAACTAACTACCACTTTAGCCTCCATGACGTTTGGGTCCATGCACGACTGTGTGTCGTGGTTCATGGACACCAAAGCCCAGTTCGTGACCACCCCGCCCACTCTCCCGCCCTTCACTATCAAGTCCTCCACCGCCACGGCGTTGAACAGCTTCACATTCGGCCTAGCCAACAGCTTGCTCATTATGGTTGAGGTGAAGAGGGCTGCATGTTTTATGACCACGTAGGTGTCTTGCTCATCGTACGGCACGTCCAGCTCATCCAAGAAGAGGTGTGCTGGCTTGCGGACCACCATCGCTGAAAAGAGTTGCCCCCCAAGCCAAGCCCCTCCTCCAGGGCTCACTGACTGCTCAATTATCGCCACCTACAAACATATATGTATAAGAGTTGTAACCATCATTTAACAAATTTTAGAATGACACTAGAGTTGGTCAGACCATGAGTCACATGAGTGCGTGGGGAGCCAGGGATATAAAAACAGTTGATGTATGTAGCCTCAAGCCTGAAAAAAAAAAACCAACTACCGAAACAGAACCAACCAAAACTGATTCAATTTACCCAAACTGACCAAAACTGATAAAACCATCAACGATTCCCTTTGCAGGTCAAGGTTTGTTTAAGCTTAAAAACGACCAAACTGACCAATAAAATGCAAAACCCCGGCCTTCTTGATATACAAATTCTGCACTCTTAACCGCTTGTAATTAATTATTCACATAATACTCTTAAACTAACAAATTTAGTTGTTTGAAAAACACGTGTCTTCTTAATGTTATGATTAATTATGCAATTAAGTTTGTCAAAGTGTCTAAATTATGTGAGAATAGTAATCACTATTATTTTATTTGATACTTAGATTCTTTCTTCCAGAGAGTATAATGCACATGGTTATTCATTTTTAAAATCAAGGGGTTAATGATGGGCTGAAATTGTATATGAAGATGGGATTATTTGTATAAATAAAAATATATTAAAATGATGACAATAATCATTGCACTTAGTAACTGTGAATGTACTACACAGTATTTCTCAAGTAACTTTGCTTGGTGTACCGTGTACATACACCTTCTCTGTACGCCTTTTGTGTACACAAAGGTTACACCACACATTACGTACAACTTGCGTACACAAAAGTTACACCACACATTTTTCTTTCTCAAGAGTCCAGACTTGGGATCATAAAAATTGCTATTTTCACAAACAAACAAAAAAAAACTCAGATTGAGAGGATATACCTGTACGTTAGGGTTCTTACTGAGCTCATAAGCGCAAGATAGACCAGCAGAGCCAGCACCAATAATGACAACATCCGTGTCGGCGTAGGTGATCATGTCCATCATGTACCTTCTGGTCATCTCGCGAGAAACGATGGACTCCTTGATGGAGTCAAAAGTGAAACTTTTGAGATCGTAAGGTGGGGAAGTAGATCTAGCAGCAGCAGAAGCAGACATGGAGATCCTTGGAATGGATCGCCGTCGTGTGCAAGAGGACGAGCTTGATTGTGAAGGAGGGGTGGCTTCATTAATGAACGACTTCTGAGCATTCAAAAAAGTAGTTTTGGTGAGGGAGAAAGCCAAGGTAGAAGAAGCCATGCTTGCCATCACCAGTGAAGTGAGTCGCAATAATTGAAACCAGCTGACACACTCTTGGTGTATACACTCCAATGGCTCATGGTATATACTCCTTCGGCCTAATGATGGACGGGCCAGGTCCGGTTCCGGTTCTGGGCCTGCCCAGCCGGGCTTTTGTTGTTGGGTAGTGAGCTCGGGACCGGCCCGAGTGTTTTGCGGTATCGGTTTGGGCCGGGCTACCCGCCTGGGTAGCGGGCCGGGTCGGGTCGGGTTGTTGTTTTTTTAGTTTAAGTAATTAAATCAAGAAGTGCTACATACAGAAAATTGAACGTATATTTATTTGATATATGAACTACAAGTCTACAATTGAGAATTAGGTAAAAAATTAAAAAATGAAGTGTAAAGTGTTGGGTAATAAAGTGATAAAGAATAATCAAATAATCAATCGTAATCTTTGTCATCGTCGGTTGTTTTTTTCCTCCATAAAGTATTGAGTGGGGGAGATGCTAAGTTCTTGACTTCTACGTTGGACCTTCAATCAATCATGGTAGCAAACAAACGTCTCAAGAGAGTTTGCGCTCAATCTCGTTCTATAATCTGTTAGAATGTTGTCGGCTGCACTAAATTCTTGTTTCACGGCAACCGTTGAAACCGGCATTGATAGCACTTGCTTAGCCATCTTTGCTAAAATTGTGAACGTTCTTTCTTTATCCTTCCACCACTTTAAAACGTCAAAATCATCATCATCTTCTTCTTCAATGTCAACAGGAAATGTTAGATACAAAGAAAGTTCGTTAAGGACGTTAACTGAGCTATGTTCAATAACGTGAGTTGATTAACTTTTTTTCATAAGATTAACAACTAATTAACTAATATTAATAAAAATGTATGAATGTGTAACTATATTAATAAAATTCGAACTATTTTTTTTAAATAAAATTCACTAAACTAATTTTTTGGAAATACTTTTTTCTAAATACTTAATGAATGAAAATTTTCCACTTTTGGTCTCATAACTATTACGCCACTTCCACATTTTGTACCTAACTTTCAACTTCGCCACATCTTGTCCCATCATTTTCTCCCGTTACCATTTATTATCCTTCCGGCGTGAGCTCCGGCGGCTTTAAAATGTTTTCTATTAAGATGAGGTTAATTTAGTAATTTCAAGTCCATTGGGGATGAACGTCTCCCGTTACCATTTCTTAGGTTTCCCAGTTGGGGACGAACGTCCCCATAGCTCAAGTCAACTCGGGAATTATTTGGTTAAATTGATTGTTGGGGACGAACCTCGCCATCACCCAGGGAAAGGCTTCCCAGTTGGGGACGAACGTCCCCATAGCCCACGTTGGCTTGGGCTATGGAGACGTTCATCCCCAACTGGGAAGCCTAATACGGATCGTGGCGAGATTCGTCCCCACGTTGGGTTGGGCTATGGAGACGTCCGTCCCCAACTGAGAAGCCTAATACGGACTTGAAATTACTAAATTAACCTCGTCTTAATAGAAAAAGTTTTAAAGCCGTCGGAGCTCACGCCAGAAGGATAAGAAATGGTAACGGGAGAAAACGATGGGACAAAATATGGCGAAGTTGAAAGTTAGGTACAAATTGTGGAAATGGCGTAATAGTCATTGGACCAAAAGTGGAAATTTTTTCCTAATAAATACGGATTGCTAAGTAACAATTTAAGAACTACTTTCGAACTACTCGTACTAATTTAATAAATACTTAAATGTAACAATGTAAGAATTAAAAATTCTAACTAATTAATCAAACCTACAAATTCAAACTAATTTAATAAATACTTTAATGACAAATGTAACAATTAAGTAATGAACTACTTTAATGACAAATGTAACTAAATAGGAAAAATGTATGAATGTGTATACTAATTAATGGGAGTAATAATATGAAATTAACTAATATTAATTAAAGTGTAATTAATATATAATATATTGTGTATAGTATAGAATGTATAAGTATACTACTATAATATGAGTAGTAAACGTATATTAAATACTTTAATATTTATAAGTAAATATAAGTAAATAACAACTATATAATAAGTAGATATTAAGTAGATAATATATGTATTTATAAGTAGATAATAACTATATCAGTAGATATAATAATTGTATAACTAATATAATGTTTATAGTATATAATATATAAGTATATTAATAGGAAACTAATATAAATTACTAAGTATATTAGTAGTATTAATATTATAATAGTAATAGAAAATTATTAATATAAGTATATAACAGTACTACTATTAATTAATAGTATAATTATATATGAAAATTTAAATACAATATATAATATTTGAAATAATAAGAATAGTAATAATAATTAAGAAAGTGGAGAAGAGCAGTAAATGAAGATGGTGAATTGATGAATATAGTAGTTGATAGAATGAATTGTGTGAATATAGTAGTAAATGAATAAGAGAGTAAAGAATGAATTGTGTGAAAAAAATGAAATGAATAGGTATTTATAGAATCCCCCACGTCAAACCCCCTGTGTTATCATTCATCATGCACAAAACCCTCTCCAAGAACAAATTTAATTTCAAAAAAGATGAAAAATCACTAATTTTTTGTATAATTTAGAAAAATTGACAAAGTTACTTGCATTTTCAACCATATTATTAAAAAAATTGATTTCAAAATTGTAAAATTTGTTCTTGAAGGGGATTTTGCGCATGATTAATTAAAACAGAGGGGGGTTTAACGCATTTTTTAAATCACATGGGGCTAATGCGCCAATTTATATTTCACCCACCCTTAAAATCACACAAAAATGAAATACTAATATGGGGACATTCAAAATGAAAATACAAGACAATTATAAGGGAACGGAGGAAGTACATACACAAAAAAGTATTCTTGCTATATGGTGAATGGCAACATAAAAATATTTCTATTTCATAAGTAGGGTAGGTTAAAAATAGTGAAAAAATATGTACTATTTTCAAAAATTATTGAGGGTATGATGAGAAGATTTAGAAATAGAAAGATCTTTTCGTTACGAACAAAAACGAAAGTGGGGAGATTTTTTTTACGTCACATAAAAATATATGTATTTCTATTTTAAGAAATTAATAACTAGGGGTGGGCGTGGTCTGGAATGGTCCGGGACATTAGCAAACCCCGTAAGGTATTCAAGAAGTTTAAAACGCTTTAGTACGGTTCGTTCTAGGATTGGAACCATTCGGTACCAGGTCATTTCGGAATGGTACAAAGCGGTACATTACAATGTCAAAGTAATGCTAAAATTATTACAAAAACCTAGCCATTAGTATTTACTAAATTACTAGATACCATCATGCCAAGTTAAAATGATAAAAACTGTCTGGAAAAGAGCATACGATTTAGATTAAAAAACTCAAAACAGTCCAATAAAACCTCATTGCTAGCTGATCTCCCAAGTCCCAACTTAGAGAGGATTACAAAAACACTAATTACTAAGTCACTAACTGCCTGGAGGATATCTCCCAGCTTTAGTTTACAAAAACTCAAACACTACGAACCATTTCAAATGATAAAAAAAGAGCATACTAATTACCAAGTTACTAACTGTCTGGATGATATCAAAACAGTCCAACAAAAACTCATTGCTAGCTGATCTCCCAACTTACAGAGGATTACAAAAACACTAATTACCAAGTTACTAACTGCCTGGAGGATATCTCCCAGCTTTAGTTTACAAAAACTCAAACACTACCAACCATTTCAAATGATAAAAAAAGAGCATACTAATTGCCAACTTACTAACTGCCTATAGGATATCAAAATAGTCTAACAAAAACTAATTGCTAGCCATTCTCCCAGCTTACAGAGGATTACAGCTTACTCATTTAGTCTTTAGTTTACAAAAACTTAAGAGCTATGCTAAAGGTACCCCAAAGTTGTACCCCATTTTTACTCCACCCCTAATTGTGTGGTCATAAATGGGGCAACTCATTTAAGTGGTGTCCCACTTAAATGAGTTGCCCCATTTATGGCCACACAATAGGGATGGGGTAAAAATGGGGTACAATTTTGGGGTACCTTTAGTATTATTCAAAACTTAAACAGTCCAAAAAAATTAAGGATATGAAAACAATTTCATTAGTGTATCATTCTTGACCTTCATCCTTCTTGATCTTCATTGCTAACCGAGCTCCCAGCTTTTTCATTTGCCAATTCTAGAAGTGTAAACATAATTTATAATTATAACAACTAAAAATAAAGTTATAAAAGTGTACAAACAAGTATTGAGTATAGAATAATAAACATAGTGCATACTTGTAATGAATATAATGGAATTTACATTTTTACAAACCCGTTGAAAGTAATATATACCTGTCTCAATACCTTCATAAAACTCCAGCTCTTCTGCACATGGTTCATCTTGGAACTGAATGAGTATGTCATCCCCTCGAAGCCAATTTTGCATACAAATTAAAGCCTCAACCGAAGTGGGAGTTAAGGAACTCTTAAATGAATCAATAATTCTTCCACCAATGCTAAAAGCACTCTCAGTCTTCTCAGAGGCAACTATTGAAACTTGAACAACAAGTACATCTTTAGCAATTAATGCTAAAATAGGATAATTGACAGATGCACATTTCCACCGACCTGGAACATCAAACATTCTATAATCCTCTTCAATCACTTCTTCATCAATGACAATTTCATCCTCCTCGCTCTTTCTTTGCCTTCCTTCCTATTGATTCTAAAGGATCCTTGAGGTATTTGTCTATCTCATGTATGATCACCACTTCATCTTGTTGTTCAACATGTTTAGTCATGTCCATTACAAACATGTTTGTGCTTGAGTTACCATGTACAACTGTGTTCTTTTCTCTCTTCATATTGCTTTCTTTACTGCCATCCCTAAGCCTCTTCTTCATATTCTTAGCAGCTCCTGATTTGTCAACATAGTCATCATAGAGAGTTAACATGAATTTTTTATCTCAGATTCCTTGTCAAAAATTTCAATTTCAATCCAGTCCATCACTGTTCTTAACACATGACCTACATGTCGAAGCTTGAACTTAGGATCCAACACAAGACCAATAATGACAAAAGTGTTTAGCGTTTTCAAATCACCAGAGTATTTGCTATACTTTTGTTTCATCAAAGCCCCAACAGCTGCTTCGAGTCGAAATTCACCCCCTTTAATCGGGATCCATACCACCAGCGTTCCACCCGGATCAAACACAGTTTGTGCAACTCCCATCTCAGTCACCATCAGAGCCAAAATAGCCAAGCCAGTCATCGGAAGCTCAAGTCTCACAACCCTAGCCGCCGCAGCTCCACGACCGCCTTTCGCGACCCAGCCGGACATCCTCTATCTACGCTATCCCCAAGTCTCTGTTGCGGAACTCCAAAGCTACGCGTCGAGACCACCGAACTTGGACCCTTCAACACTCCAATCTACTAACTCACAAAAACTAGCAAATCTCGGGACTCCAAAGCGTCAATAAGGATCAACGCCACCCACCCAAACGTCTATCCCATATTAGGGAATCGCCTTCCGCCGCCAGCAGGATCGCCGCTCTCTTTTGCACCGACCGCCGAAACTCAGAATCGCCGTCTAGGACCGTCTAGGGCCGACGCTTTCTCTCTCTCTTTCGCTCTCATGGATATAAGTCATTTTTACATAACTAACGTAAAGACTTAAAGAATGAGCATTTGATGTGGTTGCTACATGCTTGTTATATCATACTAACTCCGTCCCAAAAAACTTTGTCATTTTCAAAACTTTGACCGGCTATATCTTTTTATTGAAAATTAATTATAATATAAAAATTACATGAAAATGTTCTTTGTTAAAAGTACTTTTACAGAATTACAAAATTTATAATTTCCATAATATTATAATCCCTCCGTTCCTAAATAAACTTCCAACTTTCCTTTTTCGTCCGTTCTAATTAAAACTTCCACTTTCCCTTTTTCGTAAAGAATTTGTGGTTCACAACATTTCTTACATATTTCTCTCTCCTCTGCACAATTCTCCACCACACAATATCCACTATCTTAAACTTTGTGCCAAACCCATTTGGAAGTTAAAATGGGAACGGAGGTAGTACTAATCAAAATCAATATTTGATTTTTTTGAAATGGCAAATTTTTTTTGGGATGGAGCTAGTATGAATTAATGAATGAGTGTTTTCAATTAAATTATAAACAAACATGACGTAAGGACTAAATTAGTTTTCAAAAATATCCATTAAGTTACAAGTAATGAAGTAAATATACCTTCAATGTCTCAACGATCAAACCATAAATCAACAATCCTAGTTTATCTAGGGGTCATTTGGTAATGCTAAAATTGATTGAATCATTTGAAGCTGCTGAAATTTATTAAATTCCGCCTTAAGTGACTGTATTAACTGAATTTGTTGAATTATGGATGAATTATATTTAAAAGATACTTTATTAATACAATTAAGAAAAAAATACATGAAAAATAGTTGAAATGGTGGTCTACAACAACTTTTATATTTAGACGGAAAAGTAACTACGGTCTATAAGGGATTGACTAATAAGACTAATGAACTAAAAAATGAGATTGCCAAATGGGCCTTAGTATGTTTTTTATTGTTACTTCATACGGTAGTAAAGGGGAATTCTATATGCAGCCCCTCAAATGATATTTACAGCCCCCAATTTAATTAAAAAGTAAATAAATTACTTGAAATTATTATTTTAACCTTAATTTACATTTCCTAATGATCGATCTTTCAAATGATCGTTCAATTTTCTGAAGTCCTCCAAAAAAATCCGCGAGGCCGATCTTAACTCGTGGGCATGGAACTTGCAAATTCAGAGATTTTCTAGTACCATATGTGGCATCGATTCTGTTTGAATTTGGGGTTGTTGGCACTTGGCCGTTTGATTGGTGATTCTTAAAATCGGCTCTCTCCCTCCCTGTGAAGCTTCCTCTCCCTGCATAAATAGGACCAGGACGCGGTCTCACGAGCGGGGAATTATGATGGATGCCTATAAATAGGCCATCAACCCCCCATGTATTGGCTACGTCACTTTTGCTATATCGAAGTGTTGCCGCTTTCTCTCTCGAGCTATTTTCTACCAACATTGGTGCTTTCATTGAGAGTTGTCTCTCATTCTTCCGGTAGAAGCTTCGGAGAGGAAAATGGCAGGAGCATCAAGGCAAGAACGAGTTTCCGTCCACTCCGAGCACTCGGAGCAACCCAACGACCGTCACGTGAGAAGCACAGTGGTGAGGCCGACAGGGGACTTGAGGAACAGCTTGTCGAGCCCCATAGAGTTGCGAGGTTCGTTGGGCTAGAATCGTGGGAGGCGATCCGTCCATGAACGTCTTGGAGGCGGGAGTAATACTGTTCCGCGCTGGAACCCAACGCCGCTCGATGCTGGAGTGCAGGCACTCCGAGAAGCCACTCGTGCTATTGAGGATTTGGCTCGGGGATTTCAGAGATTGATGCCCGCAAGAGACGGAGCATGGGCATCTGAGTCATATCAGCCCTATGGACTTGGAGGCGTCCTCCGGGCGATATCGTGGGGGACGCACCAGCACAGACGGATCTCGGAGGGAGTTGTCCCGGCAAGTCGAGCAGCCACGGCGGCCCGGAAGGAGGTCTTCCCGGGAACGCTCGTTCCGGGAAGGAGGGGACGTTTTGCATTACAACTCCCGTCAACCAAGCAGGCGGGCTGGCTCCCCGGACGGACGTAATGCTGGATCTGGTCCCCACATAGGTGAAAGGATTGCGGAGTCGTCCGCGCAGGTTCAGCCCCGAGCTAGACGCGCACGAGTGGAACCGGAACTCGATGCGGTAGAATATCTAAGGCTAAGACTAGACGAGCTGAGGAGGAGGGTCGTCGGGAGAGAGCCATACGTGGCCGAACTCCACATCCCAGAACCATTTACTTGTGCAGTCATGGAAGCGTCGTTGCCGAGGGGAGACAAACCTTGCAATGTGGAGACTTACAAGGGCACTTCGGACCCGCAGCACCATATATCACGATATCTATCGTATATGGTCATGATGGGGTATGAAGACACCATATGATGTCGGGGATTCGCAGCCACGCTAGACGGCCCATCTCGAGAATGGTAAGACACGCTACCTGACAGAAGCATCGGGAACTTCCGGGAGCTGGCCAGGCATTTCCTTCTAAGGTTCGCTGGTTCCCGGGACGTGAAGAAGAATTTCAGTCACCTGTTCAGCCTGAAGCAGGGAAAGAAAGAGGCGTTATCTGCTTTCTTGGCGAGATGGAGAGCGGAGTCAGTCCAGTGCCTTGACGACAGGACCGGGGTGGCCATGCTAACGAATTCCATTCGGTCAGGGGAGCTAGAGCCGACAAAATGGACCGAAACCCGCGGGCTGACCCGTTTAAACCCATTTATTGGTGGGTTAGGGTTGAAAATTTCTGACCCATTTGGTTCGCGGGTTTCGCGGGTCAACCCACGCGGGTTGTGGGTTTAAGTGGGTTGGCTCATCGGGTTGCGGGTTGGCCCGCAGGCCAATATACAAAAATATAGTTTTAAATTTTATTATCCTAAAGATTGTCCTTTTACTACCAACATTATTATAATTACAAATAAAAAATTACAACCATGGCAAAACAATATTTATTTCAATAATAAATATTGAAATAAAATGTTGAAACATATATTTTATGTGAAGTTTGATACAATATTTAAGAATTAGTAGTCATTATTTACAAATAATTAACAAAAAGGTTTATGTAGATCTTTATTTTTATAGAATGAGTATTTTTGTCGCATACCCTCTTATAGTTTTCAAATTCTCGTATAACTAGTATTTAATATTTTTTAATTAGACTTCACAAGTATTGAATTTTTAGTATTTTGATTTTTTATATTTCCCTTGTTACTACTTACTAATATAAATTTATACTTCCGGGTAATTATTTTTAATTTTTTTGTTATATATTTTTTCACATATTGGCCCGCGGGCCAACCCGTTTAACCCACGGGTTAGGTGGGTTGGGTTAGGGTTGTAGAAATTTTGTCCCGTCATTAAACGGGTTGGCCTGACCCAACCCACATAGACCATAACCCGTCACGGGTCGGGTCGGGTTGGGCCGAGTTGGCCCGTTTGACAGCTCTACAGGGGAGCTCTACAAGGATTTTGTCAGAAATCCACCATCTTTGTACGAGGAAGCCCTGAGGCGTGCAGACCGCCAGGCCGAGGCAGAAGACGCCGAGCAAAGGAAGAAGGATGAAGAAGAGGGAAGGAGGGGAGGCAAAGAGAAACGTGATGACCCGAAAGACGAGAACACTGATTTGAAGGCTGGCGGTAAGGGCGGAAAGTGCAAAGGTAAGAAGAACAAAAGCAAGGGAAAGACTGATGTCCCGAGCGGCCCACTCTTATCAACCAAACACCTCACGCCTTTAGCCCATCCAGTCGGGACGATTCTGGACTATGCAGAGGAGCAGGGCATGGTAGCCTTCCATGATGAGTGTGACGTGGTAACCGCCAAGCGGAACACTGGCCAGTACTGCAGATTCCACAAGAATTTCAGGCATGACACAGACGAATGCATTGTCTTCCGAAGGTAGATCGAGGCACTCATCAAACAAGGGTACTTGGGCCAGTTCGTAGGAAAGCAGGGAAACAACCAACAGAGAAAAACTCTGACGTGGAAGCGACCCGACCAGGCTACCGCGTCCAAGGAGAAGCAGCATGTGGACCAATCCTCGAAGAAGCGTGAGCTCAGGGCTTTGTTCGACGATGACTACTATGACCTGGAAGGAGAACCCCATAAGCACCACAGGTGTTCCTACATCATTGGTGGCCCTCAAGGAGGTGACACCTCGGGCGAGAGGAAGCAGTGGGCTCGATCCTTATACGTCGGGGACATTACTCGGATGCCCGCGGAGAAGAGGATGAAGAGGGACCCAATCTATTTCACCGATGTTGACTTATCACATATCCTGCTGACGCATAGGGATGCCCTGGTTATCAAGGTGGAAATTAATAATACTATCGTTCACCGAGTTTTGGTAGACAACGGAAGTTCGGTGAATGTGATGTATTATGACACGTTCCAGGGCCTTGGCTTAAGTAAAACTGTTTTGAGCCCCGTTAAAACACCACTCTCAGGATTTACCGGGGACTCAATCGAGTCAGAGGGCAGCGTGGTGCTTCCAATGATGATTGGCTCCGAGCCTTGCATTGCCAGGTTGAACATCGAGTTCATAGTAGTACGTTTGACTTCTGTGCATAAGATAATCATGGAGAGGCCCGCATTGGAGGATTTGAAGTGCGTTATCTCCCAGGGAGATCAAAGGATGGCACGGAGCTGTTACATGAAGGCATGCAAGCAGCTCGGGCAGAAGGACCTTAGGGTCTACACTATCAACAGTGAAGCTATGAAGTACAAGGAGGGTCAGCTCCGCGCTGAACCCACCTCCGAAGTTGAAGAGGTTCGAATCGATCCCAAACACCCGGAACGAAAAATAAAGATCGGTGCGGGGATCCTAGTCGAGTTGAGGAAGAAGATTATCCAAGTTCTGATCACGTTCAGTATGGTCTTCGCATGGGGAACCGAAGATATGCCGGGATTGGACAGGAGAGTGGTCGTTCACAGGCTAGCAGTTGACCCGACAGTGAAGTCGGTCCAGCAGAAGAGGAGGC